TAACAACAACAACAACAACAACATCACACTGATTAATTTTTTTTTGACTGGCAATTAAAGGGAAGAATTGAGCATTTATCTTGCCCTTTTGGCAGAGCAGTTAAATGTCTCCAGGTTCTGGAGAGGAGCTTTTCTTTGTAGAACACCAGCTAATAAATGTAGGTGATGTGACGGAAATAGAAAATCACCGCCACGCAGTCCTCGATGAAGTCGTTGACCAGGCTACAATCATCAGTGATGCATATTACAACTGTTAGGTGAAAATTGATGTGGACGTACATGTTTACAATGTCCCAATATATCACTTTATGTGTTGATTGTTAGTTATAGAAGAGAAAGACTGGCACTTTTAATGGAGAAATATGGCTGTCATCATCTTAATCAAACAATTAAACTTAAGATCTCTAATAGTGATGTGCCTCCTGATGTGATGCAATGTGAATACACATCTAACATTTGGTTTATAGAAAATATAGAGAATGTTACAACAGGTTAAATGACAACAAAAAGAAAACAACTTGGTCAATCCAGAATGAGAAATATTCTACAAGACAACTGGACTGATCTCTTCAAGAAGTAAATGTCATAAAACAAAAGATTTGATAGAACTGTTAAGTTAAAAGAGACCTAAGAAATACAACAATCAATTGCAACACAACATAGTCATTGAAGAAAAAACAAAAACTACAAAATGTATTTTAGAACAGAGGCTTGATAATTATATCATATTATAAAACTATTGTTAGTCTTTGTTAGTTGTGATAATGACATTGCTGTTACGTGATGGAATGCCCTTATTTTTTTTGAGATCTGCTTTATGACATTGTAGGAGTGTCATAATGTCTCTAATTTGCTTTAAAATTTAAAAAAAGTGAAGCAAATATGGCACAATGTGAACAACTGTTGAATCTAGATATTCATTATATTACTGTAACTTTACGTATGTTTGAAAACTTTCATACATTACAGAATTTAAATTCTAATTTACCTGTACATATACACAACCGTTGCCACTCACTTCCACCGTATAGTTCTTGTTTGTTGTCGGCAATGGGATTTGTTGTAACAGCAAACGGTTCTCATCATTCACTTGGAAGCCCCTGGAGAATGCTTGGTCAGAGAAAATCAGCACTGAATTTTGCTTATTTTTAGAGAAAGTGAGCCTTTGGAATAGGGTCAGAGCTTGGAGAGCCACAACGGTATCCTAAAATAATAACATCACAAATTGTATTAGAGCATACTGTGGGATTTAGAACTCTTAAGCTAAATATAACTGTAAATCAATTAAAAACAGTTTAAATAGCCCTTTTTTTTTTTTTTTTGGTGTGTGAACTACTGTCTTGGGCACTGAATTAAGACTGAAAATAAATGGTGTTAATGGTAACATATTTTGTCTTTTAAGTTCAACCTTTAAACTAATACAGACAAAACCATCATTTAATAGAACAAAGACGTGAGAATAGCCAAGGAAATTTTAAAAGTGCCTAATGTGTCAAACTTTACTCTATCAGATATCAAAACTTATAACAAAGCCAAAAAGTCACTGGAAAAGAATAGAAAGCCTAAAAAGACACCAAAATACAAGTTTATTATACAATGTCAGTGTCTAAAATTAATTATTAAATAAATGGCATTGGTTCCAACTCACTGGCCATGTAAAAAAAGTTATATGTATCTACCACACATGATAAATCAAACTACATCCTAGGTAGTTTAATAATTGAAATATAATAAATTATTGATAATAGTATAAGAAAGAATGGATATATATTTTTACAACACTTTTTGTGCTGAGAATTTCTTTTAGCATAGGATTAAAGCAAGAAATCTTAAACTGAGTGAGTATACTAAGTGAAAGGGAAAAGAAAATAACATATATTTAAAGCATGACATAAGAAGTTGAAAACTTGGCAAGAGTATATTATATGTATAATATCTTTACTGTACACTAAAAAAAAATTGATAATACATGAAATAAAAGAGGACTTTTAAAAATGAAAGCATATTTTACCTAAGTAAATAGTGGAGATTTATTTTTATGCAGAATGAATTACAATTTTCATTGCATCAGATCAAAAAGATTTTTACAAAAGATTTTGAAGTTATACAGTGAAAGATACTCACACACTCTGCCCATGGCAATGCAAATTGATACAACTGCCCGATAAAAAGTTTACCAATATGTATCATAACCTTTAATTTTGTGTGCCCTTTCACATACCAACTTTAAGATGGTTTTTAAACCCCTTTTTTAAAAAATTAAAAGGAAATTAACTCTGATAAACACTTAGAGCTTGTTACTAGATAAAATACTCCTCAAGAAACATAAAAGAGCAAATTTTTAAAAACACAGCAAGTTTTATGTTGACAACAAACTCATTTAATTGGATAAATGCAATATATAAGTTTCAAGACCAATAATACCACTAAACACAAAGGAGCTGCTCAATTTTTTTTGTCCTTAAGGATTTGAAAAAGACAGTTACCTTTGTGGAAGAGAAACCTCCATAGGAGTTTTGCTGCTTTGCTACCCACTGTACGATCTGAGAAGCATAGGACAGCTCTTCAGCAGACAGCTGTGGCTTGGAGAGAATGGCCAATAGGCCATAACAGGTCATCTCGATCTCTGCAGAGGACGCTGAAGGGTAGTAGTAGGAGGAGGATCCTGCTGTCGAGTGCTGCTTTTCTAGTTCCCAGTACACTGAGCCACCTGGCGAAAAAGTGCAAGGAATTCAGTTGTGCCTATGCCATAGTGTGGGATATGTGTATCAGCAGATGGGGCATATTTGAGGAGTCTAAATCTGACAATGGAAAATAAAGATGAGGGTAATATTTCTCAGCCATAAAGAGAAATGAAGTCCTGATACATGCTACATGAGTGAACCTTGGTAACAGTGTGCTGAATGAAATAAGCCAGTCTCCAAAGGACAAATATTGTCTGAGCTCTTTTTATGAAATATCTAGAACTGGCAAGCATATAAGGACTAAAGTTTATTAGTGGTTACCAGGGGCAGGTGGGAGGAAGTGAGGAAAGGGGAAGTCACTTCTTAAGGATAATGGGAAGGTTGAACAACATGATGAACACAATTAATGTTACTGAATTGTATGTGAAAAAAATCATTGAAATGGCTTTTTTTTTTTTAAACATATAATATACTGACCATAAAAAATTAAAAAAGAAACATGAAAGTATAATAAGTACATCACTGAATTATTACTAGGAAAGGCCCTGTGGACTCACCTACTTTCCGTGCTTTTTCCTTTAGCATACTGATAAAGGATTCCCTTTTGCCTTTCTGGCCTACTAAAGTGAAAGTGTAGGCCAGGAGAGCCTGTTCATAGGTAGTAGTAGCTCTCTCCTTACATGCAGCCTCTATGCACTGAAGACCCTTTTGAATTGCCACAAACTGCAAGAGAAAGAAAAGATAAAAATCATTTGTGCACATAAACTTGTATGGTGCCAAGACAGATGTAAATGTGTTCATCATTGGAAAAAAAAATCAGGAATGATTCTTGTCTGTGTTGAAATGTTCAAAGGACAAATGCAACACGTACATTTTACCTTCTACGTAGTTACACATGCAAGGTGTGTTTTGACCATTGAGAAGGATAGTGATTGAGCATTATTTTGTGGTAGCTACAAACATAGTTCTTGTTCCTACTAATGTATTGACGTAAAATGTTTTGAGTGCATAAAAAGCAAGTTAGGAGTATCACCAGTGGGTTACGTACCGAGGTTGGGTGACCAGCTTCAATCAGTGCATTAATAACATATGCAGTGAGAGAAATCTTATCATCTTCTTCTCCCTGAATAAAGCATAGGGACACCATGTCAGTCTCACAGAGAGCAGAGGGAGAAACACATACCACTGTTAATGCATTGTATTGTGATAATTCAAATTGGTTGCCTTCTCTCTGGTTTTGTGGTGGTGAGGGGAGTGGTGAAGTTTTATTTATTTATTTTTTTATCTCTTTGAAAGGAATGGTTTGTAAAATCAGAAAATAGTGAATACAAATCCAGAAAATTTATAGGAATAAGGCATCACTTTTAAAAGTAACTTATTGTCCTAAGGAGGTATTTGGAATCAAAGGAGACATAGACTGCTCTGCAAACTTCTACATCAACACTCACCCTCATCCTTACCCTAGAAATAATACAGAAAATTTCATGTAAAGTGTGAGCTGTAACAGTACAACAATGAAAAGAATGTCATATGAAATAAAAATGGTAGTCAATGGAACAGAACAGGAAGAGAAGAAAGAAATCCTAGCAAGCATGGAAAACAATAAAGTTGGTTAAAAAAATCAGTCGAGGCAGCCAGTACTAACTGAAAAAAGGTGTTAGAATATAGGAATAGAATGTATATAGATTACACACTGAAATAAATTCTAGCAGGTTAATAATGTTAGTTATAAAGAAAATAAAACTAATCCAAAAAATTAATGGGCAATTAAAAGGGAGAATATACAAATAGAAAATAAGCACATGAAAGGTGTTTATCTTCAGAACCAATTGAGCTGTAAATGAAAGTAGACATAAAACACCCCATACTTTTTTATTCTATATTTGGGATAATTTTTGGTTTTAATACTTATATTATTATTCAATGCCGGTGATAGTTTGGTAAGTCAGATAGGTGCACACAGGTGCGAAAATTGGCAGAACTCTACCGAAAACAAATTTGATGAGATCCTTTCAGAACTCTTAAACAATTCTAATTCTAGATATATTTCCTAAGTCAATAATCACCAGGGAAATTATTTATATGTAACACTGCTTATACAACATTATTAAAAATTCAAGATGAGTAGTAAACAAGTTATAGTTTGCCCATGTGATAGAGTATTATAAAGCTATTAAATTATGCTCTTCAATCATTTTAATGACATGTCAAAGTCATTATATATAATGTTAGGTTTCAATAAAAGAAGACTAAAAAATAGTAGATAATAATCCTATTTATGGAAAAATTTGTTTATATGCCATAGGAAAAAAGACTGAAGGACAAAAAATACATAAAAATATTGATTATGGTTATTGCTGAATTGTTGACATATGAATTAATACATTCATATAACAAATATGTATACGTTATATACATATAACATACAAAGGGAGAGCTCTGGTGGCGTGGTGCTAACCAGAAGGCTGGCAGTTCAAATCCACCAGCCACTCCTCAGAAGGAAGACTGGGCAATCTACTTCTGTAGATACTGCCTCAGAAACCCAAGGAGGGGCCACCACAAGTCAAATTGACTTGATGGCAGTGAGTTTACATATATATAACAAAAAGAAAAACTGTCTAAAAAGAAATATATATATATTTATTTCAGTGTGTAATCTATATACATTCTATTCCTATATTCTAACACCTTTTTTCAGTTAGTACTGGCTGCCTCGACTGATTTTTTAACCAACTATATATATATATTCATTTTCTTTGAGCTGAAACCCAAGAAAAATGAATGGTATTTTGATACATTCCTTATATTGACTTATCTAAGTAACTTTCAGTAAGTAAGTATTACTATAATAATTTGGGAGCTCTGGTATAGTAGTGCCTAAGGCACTTGACTGCTAACCAGAAGGCTGGTGGTTCAAACCCACCAGCCACTCCTCAGAAGGAAGGTTGGGCAATCTACTTCCGTAGTGATACCGCCTCAGAAACCCAAGGAGGGGTTTCTATGAGTCGGAGCCTACTCAAAGGGCAATGTTTGTGTTGTGTTTGCTTTACTGTAATAATTAGTAAGAAAATGTATGTTTAGGAAAACTCAGAAATAAAAGGCAAATTCATTCATCAAGACTTACCTTGGGGTTATTAATAAGTAGAAGCTAAACAAATTGAATTCAAATAATTAAATTACATAATGCAGAATTTAAGTGACAAGTATTAAAATATTAGTGGTTATCTTGGTTCTGTCATTATTCTTACTTTCTTTCATACTTTTACTAGTAATTGCATCACTGCCACAGTCCACCACCTCCACCATCACCACGTTTACTGTTAAAAAAATCTGAACTTTTAGAGTTTTTAATCTAATGGAAGGAAAGAAAATGTTGAGTTTGTTAAAAAAAGGCATTATAGGTTTTGCAAGGTAATTAATTTATGCTGGTAGAAATCCCAGGTCAGTGTTTTCTACCAGATTTTGCAGCAGTATTTTGGGATTCACTAACTGATCGTGATGAAAGAACAGAGCCTGTAAGAGAATTTCACCAATACCTTCAAAGCGTTGTTGAAGACATTGCCAGAATTTGGGAAGCAGCCATCTGATTTCTGATTATTTACAAGCCAAATAAGTGTATGGGACTGAACTTTGTCATCAATATAAATGTAGCGTTTAGCTTGTGCAAATGATTTGTAAACAAATGCAGTAAGCCTGGAAAAAATAATATACAGTGAATTATATATAGCAAATGTTAACAGAGAGAATGTTCCTTAAAACAGATGGCTTGCTACAATTGGATTTTTGAGTATCACATTCTGAAAATCTTTCCCACATCTGGCCTAATGTGTCAACTCACCCATTCCTTTCAGACCTCTACCCACTTGGTTTATGCACCTCCTTTTCCTCCTCCTCTCTATACATAATCCATGTCTTGGATGAAATGTTATCTTGCCTATAATGTCTTCCAAATTCTTTTCTCTTCACCTGAAGCACAATTCTTGCATTTGTTCTTTCTTAACATCTAAGAGTTTGTTGAAGAATTACAGTATGTTGTAAATAGAAAATGATCCCTGGGTGGTATGAAAAATTTATACTGAACCGTTAACCTAAAAGGAGCTCTGGTAGTGTAGTGACTAAGGGATTTGATTGCTAACCAGAAGGCTGGTAGTTCAAACCCACCAGCCACTCCCTGGAAGGAAGGTTGGGCAATCTACTTCCGTAGTGATACCGCCTCAGAAGCCCAAGGAGGGGTCACTAAGAGTCAGGTTTGACTCCAGGGCAGTGGGTTTTTTTTTTTTTTTTTTTAATTAACCTAAAGGTTGATGATTCAGACTCATTCAGCAGTACCGTGGGAAAAGGGCCTGGCGATCTTCTTTCATTAAGGTCACAGCCAAGAAATCTCTATGGAGTAGTTCTACTCTAGCACATGAGGTTGCCATGAGACAGAATTGACTTGATAGCAATGGGTTACAGGTGACTAGAAAAATATCCTGAGAGACCAAAATGTAGTACTTGTGCCTCATTTTCACAGATAAAGGAACTCTGTTGGCATAGTGGATACAGTACTTGGCTGCTAGTTAGAAGGTTGGTGGTTCAAATCCACAGGAGGAAAATGAGGCAATCTCCTTCCATAAAGATTTACAGCCTTGGAAACCCAATGGGGGTTGCTATGAGTTGGAATCAACTTGATGGCAGTGGGTTATTTTTTTTTTTTTTCCACTGATAACCTCAAGTCCAGAGGGTTTAAATGGCTCATTCAATCTTGATAAACTAGGATTATTCTTATATATGTACTTTTTTCCCCTGTAGACTGGCATTCTTTGCAGATAAGCACCAGTTTATATTCATCATGATATGTAAGCTACATTGCATTTAGTTCAAACATATCACCATACAGTTTCTGGGAAAACTGTTTTTCCATAAGCTACCATAGAATCCTGTGCATAAGTTTACTACATTTTTAATTATATTGCATTGTAACATTTTTCCCCCTGTTATGCTCTGCACTTCCTGAGGCCAACGGTCATGTTTTATTGAGAGGCAAAATCATGTAGATTTCTGGAAAAGATATTCCAGCTCTGCCACATGACTAGCAGTGTGATCTTGGACAAATTGCTTGATCTTTCTGTATTTATTTCTTCATCGTAAAATTGGTATTGTAATGCTACCAGCCTCATTTGGTTGTTATGGAGATTAAAAACTCAACTGCCATTGAGTTGAATCCAACTCATAGCGACCCCTCCTTGGGTTTCCAAGGCGGTATCTCTATGGAAGTAGATTGCCCAATGTTCCTTCCAAGGAGTGGTTAGTGGGTTTGAATCACCAGCCTCTGGTTAGCAGTCAAATGCCTTAGGCACTATGCCACCAGAGCTCTCTATGGAGATTAATTATACTCAATGATAGTGATTATTATAAATACCATTTGTGTTTTTGTATCTTGGGGGTTATTACTGTTCCCAGGACATATAATAGTGTTGTACATAAATGTTAGGAATACAAGGAAATTTTTTAAAGCTTAACTCACATTTCACTATTTTAGAATCACAACACAATCTATGGTTAATTTAATTTGTTTTTAGTACTTATTTCACTACTTTTAGCAAGCACTATTGTGCTCAAATATGGGTTTTCAATATCTCATCAAGAAATTGCCCATGTGCACAACACTATTTCTGAGTGGCACTATCAGTGAGCGTAGGTGATGTTGAAGTTAGCTTTGAGGCTGATCTGGGATAAGATTAATGATTTGGTTGGAATAATTTGTTTGTATATTAAGTTAGGCTTCACATTCCTCATCCTCACCTATTGAGTTACTTGCTTTTTGCTTAATGATTTGTTTACTTAGCAGGCATTTTTCATAAGTACAAGATAGAAATAAAGCCATGTATCATGAATTTTTAACCCAAGAGCCCAAGAATCCTATTAAATTGAATTTGTGTATCTGTGTGTTGTATATAAAAAGTTTGGGAGAGAAGGTCCATAGTTTTCATAAAATTCTCAAAAGCTACTTGACAAAGAAATATTTAAAAACTTCTAATTAAACACATATAATTATAAAGCAATTCAGACCATGTGTTTCCTTGTTGATATTTATATCCAAAGGTACTATATGATCCATCCGCGTTTTTATAAGACAGTTGCTTCTGATAACCTGGAACAAGAAGGAGATATAATTATTTTAAAATTTAAAGTAATATCTAGCAGGAATATTGGATAAAGTGACTGTTCATGTTAGTTTTAACTGCACATATTCGTATACACAAATAATTCAGTGTACTTAACAAGAAGAAAAGAGCTGGGTTTCAGAAACTTAACTAGAAAATTAAAAAAGACTTTTAAATGCTTTACCTTCTATCAGGTATCCAATAGCCTTGAATTTTATCTCTTCTGTTAGTTGTTGAGTCTGATTCAGATAGTCCAAGATGTAAATATTGGGAGCGAATCGAGCCATATTCTGCTCTCCACAACCAAAAGGCATTCGGAGAAGATGATGTAAGTTTTGCATAGCAGAGCTGAGAATGTCTCCTGAAAAGTAAATCAAATCAATATGAAGTATTGATAAGGAAAATAATATTAGGTGTGCTCAAGACCTCTAGGAGCTCTGGTAGCATAGTGGCTAAGACACTTGCCTGCTAACCAGACGGCTGGCGGTTCAA